TCATCCACGTGTTTGTGTGAGTAAGAGAGAGTGGCAGTGGCAGGGTAAAAACAGAGGCTGGGGGAGGTGTGCGCTGGGCCGAGGCATTAAAGAAGAAGCAGAAACTTACAAAGAAGCATGTGACATATTTTACTTGCATGTCGAAATTCCCAAATGTCTTCCTTATAAGAAATACCATTAATATAAGCAGCCTTGACTGTGCTCTGTCAAGATGTAAGAGATATTTTTGATCATCATCACAAAATAAATCCTGACAAGATGACCAGTTATTTTATATAGAGAGAGGAATAAAATGATATAAGTACATAAGTAATGAGATTTTATATATTATAAATTATATATTGTATATATAAAATTACATTGGATTACATTATGATTATTTTATATATAAAGCAAGATATAAATTATACATACAAATACATATATGACAAATTCTACATACACACATACATGCATACATGGAGAGAAATAAATTAATTATACATATAAATGCATATATAATATAAATATATATTATTAAATTGTTACATCGTATTACATTATAATGATAATTCTTTTATATATAAAGAAATAATACATATATAAATTAGTTTCTTGTAATGATAGTATGTCTCTTTTTACCCATATCTATAACATATCACTGGATTTATTATTCTGCAAGTAATTTTTTATGGACTACTTAGCAAATATATTTATCTACATTATAACATATCTTCCTCTATTTTAAGTTCTCTCTCATCCAGCTGTTTATGTCTCTTACTGGTCTCTTGGGTTCCTTGTTTTGCTTTAGCTGGACTTCTTTAATCATAGACGGGGTATTAAGGAAATAGCCAACGACCTCTAAGTGCATGTGAATGCTGGTCTCGTATTCTTTTACCTGCTTTTTGCTGCACAGCCAGACATTTCATTGTTGCAGCCGTGCCTTTTTGCAGACTATAGACTTTAAGTGCACCCTGCCAGCTCTTAGCGCATGTGGAAAGTTTTATTTACTTCTCTGTTTCCCCTTATAGACTCTGAAGAGGAAGGAGAAGGACTACGAGCATGAGATGGAGCGTTTGGCGCGGGAGAAGATCGCCTTGCAGCAGAGACTTGCCGAGCTCAAGAATGAGCTGAGTCAGCGATTGGACGTGATGGAGATCGACCGCATTCTTCGACAGACTGTCCAGCCAGATGATGACCAGGCCTCTACCTCCACTGCCTCAGGTTAGTCTTGCAGAAGGCCTCATCTGCAGGTTTCCATGCTAATTGACAGCATGCTTTACGACAGAGCTTAAAACTCCTTGAAATCACTTGATAAATGAAATTTATTTTGTCCTGTGATTTTCTAAGTTTAAGTTTAGTACAAACACTCATTCCCCTTTTT